CCACCAATGCTTACAAGATTTCTTTTTCTACAGTCTCGGTATCTTTAAATTCTATCACTAGTACTTACAGTTTATTGTTTGCCGTTCATTTCACTGGGGTTTTGGAGAGCCCCTCTAAATGTTGATGAATTATTATCACCGACAGTGTGAAGTGTCCGTGTGCGGCATTAATGACCCGTCGGGTTTGCAGGGGAGGGATCTGTAGGAAGGGAACAAAGGGAGTGTTGAACGTGGTGGTCCACTTCGTTGTAGGGTTTGAGCTGCCGGCTGCTACCCCATGCCATTCCTCGGTGGAAAAAACCAACAGGCCTCACTGATGGGTCAGTATTTAGGATTCTGCTTTGGTTTTCTTGTTTCTGGCCGGTCCTTCAGATCCGAGGCAAGCCAACTGCCCTTGCAAAGCGAGGCCTTCCTCTTATATGGTCTTTTTACATGATTTTCATTTTACCACCTATCTTTCTTTTTTAAAATAAATTTTATTTTTATTTCATGTACATTGGTGCTGTGCCTCCATGTGTGTCTGTGTGAGTATGTCAACTCCCCTGGAACTGGAGTTATAGACAGTTGTGAGCTGCCATGTGGGTGCTGGGAATTGAACCCGGATCCTCTGGAAGAACAGCCAGTGCTCTTAATCTCTGAGCCATCTCTCCAGCCCCCTTGTCACCCATTTCTTTTGTGTTATTGCAGAGACTGGCAAACCTATTCTTTATATTTGGTTTATGATTTTTGCAGTTTTGTATTGGCTTTTTTTTTTTTTTTGGATAGGAATACCGAGTTGATCTTCATAATTGGATTTTAGTTTTTCCTTTTATTTACTTTCAAATACTTAATCATTTATTTTGTGTGTGTACGTGCCTGTGCAGTGCTCATGCACATGTGTAGCGTATCTGCAGGTGCCTACAGGGGTCAGAAGAGGTCACTGAATCCCCTGGAACTGGAGTTATGAGCAGCTGTGAGCTGCCCGACATGGGTGCTGGGACCCGAACTCTGGGCCTCTGAAAGAGCCACAAGCGCTCTTAGCTACCGAGCCGCCCCTCCAAGCCCTTCTCCATTTCCTTTACTAGTTCTCTGCCGTCTAGCCAGGTCGACTGGCATTTGCAACCCTCTTTTTGTCCAAACCCTGTCTATAGCTTCCTTTGCTCTGTAGCATTTCCTTCTGCTCGTGTGTTAACTGACGTGCAGGATGCCACTCGGCCACATTTGCTTCCTCAGTATCCCGCTTTCCACCATCCCTGTCTCGGGACGTGCTCAGAGGCCCCGAGATGTTTTAAATCTCTTCAATGGCTCCTGACAGGAGATCTGCCTGGCATCCTTTGTCTCCCCCACCCCCCGAGAAGCAGCGGGGGCATCATTCGAATGTTTCTCAAACCTTATATCAAAAGAAATTGTGTCCTTCCTAAAGCATTTTTCGAAGAGGAAGAAGGAAAGGTTAGAGTGAGAACGGGTGGGAAGGAGAAAGGTGAGTTTCTTTCTCTGTCGTTTACTTGGCTGCAAGGTCCTTTCTCCCATCAGCCTCTGTCCTCGCTGTCATACCTCTCTGGGTCATGATGTTATGGCTGGCACGTCAAACCCAAGTCCCCGCCACCCTCTCCATGGGTTACTTGTCTTGATTGCTGCCTGGAGCTTGGGTGTGGGGACCGGCAGGGGGAGGGGATGTGGAGTTTGGCACAGGGCTTCTCACTGGGCCTGTCTATCCCCACCCTCTGTGGAGTTTCGGAAGAGGAGGCTGTCAACAATAATAAAACCTTGCAGAGCCTGTTTCTCTCCCATCTTGGACGGAGAACATGAGACCTTGGCATGGAGAACAGAGACAACAACAGGCCCATTGCTAGAGGTCTGGGAAGCACGTGGTTCTTCCGGGTTCCTATTTCAAAACTGTTTGTTACCCAGAGAATCGGGGTTTAGCTTCTACAGTTAGGCTTCGAGAGTTGGCCAAAACCTCACAGCATCTCAGCCTCTTCAGTGATGCTCGGTCAGGATGGACCACACAGGTCACAAATAGTTTACCAGCTCTGTGGCCTCTCCTTCACCAGCGTGTATGTAGCTATGGCAGGAGGACACCGTGACTTCTAAGAACAGGGCTTTAAGCTCAGGAACCGATGGTATATTATATGGTGGCCCCACCCATAACTATCTTTTGTGATGCGTCATCCTTCCCATCTCAGTGGGGTCCAGAGGGCTGTGGGAGGCTGTTGGGCTATTCTGCAGAGCTCAGTGGGGTTGTACAAGCACACTTCCCACACTTCCCAGCCCCCAGCAGCTTGCTTCTTTCTGGCCCTGGTCTTGACTGGAGATTTGGTAGGGGAGAATGCAGACTTTCCCATCCTTAGCCTAGACTGGAATCAATCAATCAATCTCTCTCCCACCCCCTGTCCCTTTTCTCTTCTATATGACCAATGCGCTGACTCCCCTATTCTACATAACCACTCTATATTTGCCTGGCCACTGGCAGTTCCACTGAGGGTGAAGACAGAGGCTTCCACGGCTGCCAGGCACTCTTTCCATCACCTCATCCTCCCTGGACATCCATCCTCAGCGGTCCTCTACCTTTCCTGCTTTGGGCCTGTGAGTGGTAAGGATCCAACGTATACTGTCTTCTGTGGGTACCTTGGATCTACCTATGTTAGTACTCCTTGACCAACAGTCTGGTAAGCCCCCTTCAGTGGGGACTGCTTACTTCCTTCTGTGACCCAATACATAGTACAAACCACAGAGGCCCTCGGTTGGTTGGGATCTCCTGATACCACCTGTCTCTTGATGGCCTTGCTTGTTTTCTTTCCTTTTGCTGGTTGTTGTTGTTTTTAATGTGATCTTATCTAAAAACATTAGATAAAAGGGAATGCTCCCGACTTAAGTTGTAGGAGGTAAAGTGCTGACTGCCCATCAACCTCCTCATTTTCCATGGCTGCCAGAGATACACTCGCTTGCAGCCCCCGAGGATTCAAGCAGCATGAGCTAACCGCTGCATTGGCAGAATCCAGAGACAACAGCTCGTGGTTCTCAGCATCAAAGCAAAGGCATTTCTTTTCATGGTTTTACTTATGTGGATGGTGTGTGTGTGTGTGTGTGTGTCTGAGGTTGAGGGCAGGCATCTTCCTTGACCACTCTCTACCTTACACGTGGAGACAAAGTCTATCCAGCTTCCCCCAGGAGTCCCCCACCTTTGCTCCCTCACTCTGCTGGAATCACAGATGGGCCACTACGCTTGTCTGGCTTTTATGTGGTTTCTGGGGGTATACAAAGGCCTTCCTCATGTTTCTGCAGAAAATGCTTACCTGTGGAGCTACCTTCCTGTTCCTGAAGACATTTCTTCAAGATGCCATCTATGAAGGTCAGTATCTGTATCTGTTAGTTCTGCATCTGTGCATTCAATAAAGAATGCTCAATCATACCACGAAGATACACGCTCAACCATGTTCATAGCAGCATTATTCATAATAGCCAGAACCTGGAAACAACCTAGATGCCCATTAACTGAAGAATGGATTAAGAAAATGTGGTACATATACACAGTGGAATACTACTCAGCAGAGAAAAACAATGACATCATGAAATTTGCAGCAAATGGATGGAACTAGAAAATATCATCCTGAGTGAGGTAACCCAGACTCCGAAGGACAAACATGGTATGTACTCACTCATAAGTGGATATTAGATATAAAGCAAAGGACAATCGGAATGCACAGATCCAGGGAGGCTACCTAGCGGGGGGACCCTAGGATGACTATGGCTCAGAATAAGTTTTGGTTTTGCCCAATTACTGGGCATGCTTTAGTGAAACATTTCACTATTAGGATAAGAATTTGTACTATATCAAGCTGATGAAAGGAGATGCTGGCTGTACTTTAAGGAGAGGAGGCTAAAATCTTTTTAGATTATGGATTAACCTATAGAAAAATGTCTGCCGTAAATCAAACAGTGAAGGGCAATTTGAATAGGAATCTCACACAACTTAAGTAAAACATCGGTCTCTGAACAGAAGAAGATAGGTTTCTTCTGCATCCCAGAATCTAATCAATATTTATATGTATAATTCAGCTATTATTTGGCTTAAAAGGGCTTATTGGGAAATGTTATCATTTTTACTATTTTCTTTTCTTTTCTTTTCTTTTTTTTTTTT